AGCAATAATTATATCGGATATCAATATCGGGTGAAGTTTTCATATCGGTGCATCCCTAATTTAGCCATTTTTCTAATAATTTCCTGCAAAAAGGGGGAAAAAAGTTAATTTTTATATATATTTGCTCAAAGGATGCTTTATGAATGATCTTGACTAGAACACTGACTTTAGTGTAATATATATTTGTGATAAATGAYCATGACAGTGAGTCTATTTATTTCTACACCTCAGCGGTTTGCTGATCAGCCTGTCACATTGCTTTGCATCCTCATTTGCCAGCCTCAGAAACAATCAGGCCCCTCATTAGTGAATTGATATTTTCTGGCTTCAATTAGTTTTTGAGAAATAAAGTTGTGTGAGGTAATGGATTTGAAAGGGTGCCGTTATGCAATTTGTGATTTAAAACACCACCGTAATTAATTAAAGGGTGCGTGAACTTGAGACCGCATTTTCTTAGAAGCCAGATGCCCGAACCCAGCAGTACAAGCTTCTGAGAAGATGGATTACAGTGTGAGTTTTTACTGCGCACTCATTTTTAAAAGTGTCTGTTACGTTTGCAGGAGTGCCCCGGTCTGACACAACACTTTTTTTTAAAGTGTTGTGGCGTAAATTTGTTGTGTTTCCTGACTTGTGTGTGTCTCTCAGACAGCCGATCCTCCTCCCGTCCTCCTTCTGCTCGCAGCAGACGGTCCTCTCTGTCAAACTCAGTCACGATGACGTCCACCAGCACCAAGGCCTGCAAAATCCCAGAACCTCCAAATTTACAGGTGATCCCCTCAAATCAGGAGGACTTTTTTTGGTGGTGATTTTATTATATGTCTTTCTGTTTAAGTAATATGTTTTAAGCTCTRAGTGGCTTCTACAACAGAGTATTTATTTTAAATGACATGTCCATTTAACGTTGCTGGTTTGGCTCACATGCTGTGGACTGCCTCTAAGCGTGTCACTGTGTTTATAAAATAGTCTGATTACTTTTAGGTCACTGTTAGTGTTATATGCTTCTATCACATTATGTGATAAATGAATCCATCATTGCAGCCATTAACTGCATACAGCTTCAGTTTATCGTGTGAATCCATAGTGTCGTTTGCAGAATCTTTTCAAAGTCCTGCTGCTGATAATAACTTGATGCTGATGTGTTAAAAGATWAAGTATTTCCTTATTTATTAAACTGACACCATATTATAACTTCACAAGATGCGTTAAGACTGCTTTTTGTGTTGGAGTTTTCATAATAACATGACTTTATTTTGGCAAAATTATGGCTTTCTTCTCACAAAATACAACTTTATTCTATTGATGTTATGACTCTAGTCTTGTAATATTACCACTTTATTCTCATAATATTACTTTAGTCTTGTAGCATTGCAACTTTAGTTTGCAAGTTTACGACTTTATTCTCATCATATTATGACTTTAGTCTCGCAAGATTATGACTTTATTCTTATAATTTTATGGCTTTAGTCTTGTAATATTTATTCTCGTAATATTATGACTTTATTCTCATAAATTATGACTTTCTCATACAATTTTTTGTAGTATTATGACTTTATTAATGTTTAATGACTTTAATCTTCTAATTTAGATAGATAGATAGGTAGATGTGGAGCAGTGGGTAGCCATTAGTGAGGCACCTGGGGAGGAGCTGAAGGGTTAAGGACCTTGCTCGTTCCGGGGAGTTGAACCAGCGGTTTTCCGATCACAGGGTCACCTTCTCTAACCTCTGTGCCACCACTCCCCATTTTTTATTTAAAATAAATAAATAAATTAAAAAAATCTCTCTGTCATAGGCTTCTGTAGTTTAAAAGTCCCAATGTAAAACGACAGAAAACAGACAGAAAATGTATTATTTCTAAAAGGGACGATACTCGGGGAATGGAAACTGTTAAATTTCCTTACTTTAATGCAACTAAACTAATAAAAACATAGTTATGAATATTTAATCACACTTGTACCAGTGACTCAGTCAGAACAAACGGACTCATCTCTTACTATTTTATTTTTTCTCTGTTATCAAGACAAAAATAAGCTTAATTGTATTGTAATCCACACATGACTTACAGTTTATCCTCAATCAGCATTTTGCTTTAACCTAAAATGTTTAAATGTAGCTTTTGCCATTTGCTGTATTTCTGGATATSTTTATCTGCGAAGGAGCCATTATAAGCAGCCCGGCTGCTCGCTCAGTGTCGGTGTGTTGTTAGCTGGACGAGTACAGCCTGAGGTGGTAGATATATGTACTGTATTGATCTCATGCTCTTTGTTTTCACTCTTTTTGGCTTAACCTCAGCTGGTTTGCTTTACAGCAAGGAGTGTGGGGGGGGACGCAGATAAATAAATAAACAGAACTACCCCTTGCACCATCTCCCAGGTCCGAGCACAGTGTTGAGATTGGAAACGGCCAGGCGTCATAAAGGGTAAAAGAATGTGTGTCCAGAGATTACCTCAGAGGGAACTTCTGCTCGCTAAATTGGCTCMTATATYGCCACAGGCTAATGGCCGTAGAGCGWCTGGTGAAGGATGGATGTGTAGTGGTGTCAGTATGTGTATGTGAGTGTGCCAATTTTATCTTTGTGAACAGAAATCTACATATGAAGGATTATTCTACTTTGCTTTTTTTGTCTGTGTAGATAAGAGTAGTAAGAAAATGAGCAGATTTAAATGTGCTGCTTTGGTGTCCTGCTAGCAGCTGTGAAGCAGTAAATCAGGCCTGTGGCCAGAGCAGGTGACAGAGCCTGTATTAGTCTGCAGGCTGACCCTCTCTCAATGGAGGCATCAATTCTCATGTCCTTAAGCAGTGGATGGGTGCCCGTGGCATTTTCCYTCATTTAATATTGTCTGGACAAACCACAAAAGTGTTATGGTTTGATCTTTTATGCCTCTCTCAGCCCAAGATAAATACTTTGAGAAAATGGCTTTTCTCTAAAGGAGTGGCATGCTCCGTCTTTATGGTACTTTTCTTTGTTTAACTTGGTGATTTATTTGTCAACTGAAAGGATTTATGACCTATTTCAGCCTCGCTCGGCCCTCAATGTCCTTTTACCGTGTGTCCACGCCAACTGTGTTTTCATTTAATGTGTCTCCAATGAGAGGAATGAAAACTTCCTTGTGTTGACGTTCCTGTTCAATTTCAAATTATGACCTAATTTCAGTTGTGTAGCCAGACAAAGCAACAACAGGATTGCGAGAAAGAAATTTCAGGATTCATAAATATTGCCAAAGTAGCCCCYCGACGGTTTGGGATGAAGATTGAAAAGGCCGTATTTATCAAAGTTAAATGGACTCCAATTTGCCGAATCATGTCCAARGAGAGAGATTTCCTCCAGCCTGCAGCTGACGACCAGCGCGACACTTCTGCCCCCCGCTGGGCCAGCATGAGTACAACACGAGTGCTGCTGAGGAGCGTTTACACTCACAGCCATCGTAATGAATATTCCCCCTGAAGATTCCGAGTGGTAATTATTACAGCAGCAGTTTCTGTTAATCAACCCGAGCTGCTTCACTGTTTATGAGCGGCCKCTTAATTCACTCTTTTCATGCCAATATACACTTCCCCTGTCACAAGATTCATCCCACTTTAAATAGGAACTGCAAATTAGTTTTGGTTTCTGCTGGATGAATAAATGAATTTTGTTGCCAGAGATAAAACAGTGTCGTAATTGTGTCAGGATCTAAACAAACACCACGCAGAAAAACCGATTCGGACACAAATAAAAGGGCAAAATGATTTCTTGATAATTTAAAGGCCTAAAGATCATTTTAGTTTGGGTCTTACGAATAATTTATATTATAAATTACCATATTTATTTGTGTATAATATGATCTTATGTATAATACGACCATCATTTTTTGAGCTGAAAAAGCATTAAAAATCTAATTATGAATAACCCGTGTATAATACTACCCCCACTCACACACACACACACACACACACACACACACACACACA